GAAAATGTCATTTCGCGATGCACCTCTGTGTCGGAACGCACTGGCCGCATAGGCTCGGCCTTGGGCGGGGAGAGGTTCTGCGTGTTGAGGGTGAGGTGGTAGCGGACATGCTGATCTTTCTCTTCAGATACGTTGGTGTTGGAAGAATGGCTTTGGCGACTCCTTTGCTCTATATCGTCCTGAGGCTGCATTGCATTATCGTGCTCCGCTGGGACAGCGAAGTCTCGTGATGTTGACATTGGATGAACGGGAAGATGCCCTGCGAAAGGCAGAGCCGAGAGATAGGTAGAGTATGTATTAAAGCCAGTCGAACGAGCGCGTAGAATAAAAGCAACCTTTAAAGCTGTAGAAAGCCTATCAGCTCAGCTGAGAGAGATGGAATAAAAAGGGTCAGGTCCAGTTCGAGTTACCTGAGACTCGCATAAAAATAAATTCAAGGGTGCTCGATTCCTCATGGATGCGCCGCGGCGTTGTGATGCAGGGGAAGTTCAGCCCGTCAGCACCAATTTCAGTGGTCGGTTTAGGGGGAGTACGGGGTTGTTTCTCAACCTATGGCCTAGAGCATTGGATTGGATTCGGGCAAACATTTAACTCGTATATCGTAGCCACTGTCGAATAGCCCGACCTTTTATTAGTGTGTTCTAAAGGTCCAGACTTTGATGGGCTGAAGCCGATTATCCGTCCCTGGTCCATCGAAGAATGCCATCGTCCTTCATGACGTCCCGAGATCTCTCACGATGAATCTCCACGCCAATCGCCGATGAGCAGTCTCATACTCCAAGGCCAAGCTTTTATAACAAGCTTCATATCCACATTTTTCCGTCTCGGCACAGAACAACACAGAATAAATCAAGAGTCGAACACGCCCTCATTTTATCCATTTGTGTATCAATGGAATTATTTCATCATGAGTCTCCAAGAGACCCGAAACAATAATCTGCAGACACAACGGTTTCAGAGACTGCAAGGACCACCGAATCATTTCAGCACAGTTTATGTACAAATACATGGTTCGGGAAAAGTAGCCAGTAGCACTGCATCAATAGGTCACGATGTCAAGTTGGCTTCAAAACACAAAATCTGATGGAAAGGCCAACAACAGAGCACTTTTTACGAAGACAACTAAACGAAAGGTTAGTAGGTCAACTTCTGAAACTCAAGTTAGACGCTTCCAAACTTATAAATATAACAAGAGATTTACACGCTTCTTATTGAGCCTTTCTAGTATTACAGAAACCCACTAATTACCTTATCTTCTTATTGAACGTCCCTCAATAGCTCCTTCCCGAAATTATCATCAAACAATAAATACCATTCTGTGAAGTGGTCAACGTCCTGTCTTTTGTCAATGCATAGCACAAGGGCCAACGCCGCATTCTCAAACCACAAAACCCCGATGCCGCTTCTAGCACCATCCCCCTCGACTATCATGAGGTAGCTTTTAGAGGGTCCTCTCCTTTCCAATTTAATTAATAAAGGCGTTTGGGGTTACCAGAGTGTAGTAAATCATAGTTCAATGTTCCGTCTCACCTGTTGTGATCATGCTGAGAGAAGATTCAGATTCAGGTGCTGACATAACGAGGATTACAGGGTAGGTAAGCTTGGGCCTCTCATTTGCCTCTGTAGCCTAGTGAAGTTACCTACAGGCAGCAACCACCTTCTGCCCCAGTTGGAGCTTCTGCCCAGGCCATAACTCACTCACGCCCAGGTTAATCTGACTTGAGCAGTTGAACAAAGAAAATGGCACATCTCTTTGTTTGAAAGAAAACATAACGCATCCAATTTGGATGATTTATTGCACACTTCTTCTTCATAATCATCGTCGCAGTTTCGAGACTGCCTTCTCCATACATCGCTACTTTCCAACCGCCCCAACTTACAGCTACCTAGAGTAAACAAAACATCATGTCGCATACTGATGAGGCACAGCATGAAGACGAGATCCAATATGGCATCGTGGGCATGACCCGCGAAGAGATCGAGGAAAAGTGAGCAATTCATAATCCTTCAAGAATTCTATCCTCATACTGACCTTGCGCAAGGTTTCCGAATCGGCCAAAGAATCACTCAAAGACGCTCATCTTCTCGGAACTGTTTCGAGAAGTCTTCAACCCCCTCAATGAGAACAAGAAGCAGAATGCCACTGGTGCAGGCCCTAGAAAGGGTTTCCGTGGTGTGAATAAGCTTTCTCCTCATGAGCAGCGTCGGCACATCATTGAGCGATTCATCACTCGATGGCGCAAAGAAGTTGGCCCTGATTTCTATCCCGCTTTGCGCCTGATCCTGCCAGACAAAGACCGTGACCGTGGAGTTTATGGGCTCAAAGAAAACACAATTGGAAAGTTACTCGTCAAGCTTATGAAAATCGACAAAAATTCCGAAGATGGCTACAACCTGTTGCATTGGAAGCTACCAGGTCAGACAACTGCGTCGCGCCTGGCGGGTGACTTCGCAGGACGATGCTTTGAAGTCATCTCGAAGCGGCCGATGCGCACCGATGTTGGGAACATGACCATTGCAGAAGTCAATGAGCAGCTTGACAAACTCGCTGCTTCAGCAGGAGAGGCAGAGAATCTGCGAGTCTTTGAGACTTTCTACAATCGCATGAATTCAGAAGAGCTCATGTGGCTCATTCGGATCGTCCTCAAGCAGATGAAAGTCGGGGCCACGGAGAAGACTTTCCTTGACTTGTGGCATCCAGACGGAGATGCTCTATTTAGTGTGTCCTCAAGTCTAAGACGTGTTTGCTGGGAGCTGCATGACCCAGAAACCCGCCTTGAGCAGGAGGAAACTGGTGTTGCCTTGATGCAATGTTTCCAGCCACAGCTCGCACAATTTCAGATGCCTTCATCATTTGACAAAATGATCGCTCTTCTGCGGCCAACCGAGGAAGACACCGAATTCTGGATCGAGGAAAAGTTGGACGGTGAGCGTATGCAAGTCCATATGGTCCAAGACAAGAGCCACCCAGGCGGCAAAAGGTTCTGTTTTTGGTCACGGAAGGCCAAAGATTACACCTATCTCTATGGCGATGGTCTTCAAGACGAAAACTCAAGTCTAACCAGACATTTGAAAAACGCATTTGCATCTGGAGTGAAAAACTTGATCCTAGACGGCGAAATGATCACCTGGGATATGGGTGTCGACAAGATAGTACCTTTTGGCACCCTCAAAACAGCTGCGCTTTCGGAACAGAAGAATAGGTCTGATACAGACTCAGCTGGCCACCGGCCATTGTTCCGCGTCTTTGATATCCTTTACCTGAACAACAAACCTCTAACACAATATACCCTGCGGGATCGACGCCGAGCTTTGGAAAAGGCTATCAAGCCTGTCCATCGCCGACTTGAAATTCACAGTTACGAAAAGGCAACGCGTGCCGACGCAATAGAGCCTCTTCTCCGTGAGGTTGTCGCTAATGCTTCTGAGGGCCTTGTGTTGAAGAACCCGCGATCTATGTACCGTCTCAACAGTCGAAATGATGACTGGCTCAAGGTCAAACCTGAATACATGTCCGAGTTTGGCGAGTCCCTCGACTGTGTCATTATTGGTGGCTACTATGGTTCAGGGAAGCGGGGTGGCATGCTATCAAGCTTTCTTTGTGGACTGCGTGTTACGCAGAATCATATCCAAGCTGGCGCCAACCCCGAGAAATGCTTCAGTTTCTTCAAGGTCGGGGGCGGTTTCCGTGCAGAAGACTATGCAGAAATTCGGCATCGAACAGAAGGCAAGTGGATTGAGTGGGATCAGAAGAATCCACCCTCCAAGTACATCGAACTTGGAGGAGGAGAGCTTAGACAGTATGAGAGACCAGATGTCTGGATCCGTCCTAAAGACTCTGTAATTGTTTCTGTCAAGGCAGCCAGTGTTGGACCTTCAGATCAATTTGCCCGAGGCTTCACACTAAGATTCCCACGATTCAGAAGACTTCGCCTGGACCGAACCTGGGACACAGCCCTCTCCCTTGAAGAGTTCCAGGAGTTGAAGGAGCGAGTTGATGAAGAGTCAAAGGAGAAGGCGATGACGGTTGAGGACAGGAAGCGGCGCCACCCCAAGCGAGTGAAGAGAGAGTTGATCATTGCTGGAGAAGACGCGATTGTACCTGAGTTCAAGGGAGAGATGACAAACCTTTTCAAGGGACTAGACTTCTGCGTGCTTTCAGAGGCACTCCGGCCTTATAAAAAGACCAAGTCTCAGCTTGAGACCATCATCAAGGAGAATGGTGGCAAAGTCTTGCAACGAGCCGTACCAGGGAGCAACATGGTTCTGATAGCCGACAAGAAGGTGGTAAAGGTGGCGAGCCTCATTAAAGGAGGAGCTGTTGACATTATCCGCCCCAAATGGATAAGAGATTGCCTTGAACAGGAACTAGGGGCGTTTCTTTTGCCATTTGAACCTCCGCATTTGTTTCACGCTACTGATGCATTACACCAAGCGGCAGAAGATAACACAGATCAGTTTGGGGACAGCTACGCGCGGGATCTTTCACTCGAAGAACTCAGAGAGCTAATGCACGACATGCCTAAGATTGAGGACGGCACGCACTTTGACAAGGATGAATTTCTCCAACAGCTTGAGGAACACGGGAAAGACTTGGGACGATTGAGGAGCTTTACCTTCCGACGTTGCGTGGTGCTGTTTCATGCCGTGGAAGCTGGCGACAACAAGATTTCGAGGCTAAAGCACCTTGTCAAGTACGGCGGGGGTAATGTTACAGATGACACCAATGATCTGTCTGTGACGCATGTGGTGATCGAGGGCGACGACCCGATGCAAGTGGGAGAGGCCGCTGATATGGTACGAAAGGAACTGAGCTCAAGGCGCGTGCAACCAAGATTAGTGACAGGGAAATGGATTGATGAGTGCTGGAACGAGAGCACATTGCTTGACGAGGAGCAGTTTATGATTCCTTGAGGAACATGGGGTACTTATGGTGTATACTATCTAAACTATATGTTAATGCAATGAGAATACAACGCCCAAAAGCCCGTAAAGCGCACTCATTTGCCGATAGTCAAGAACAGCCTATCACCAACATCTCCCAGACCAGGCTTCAGCATACCATCCTTGGTCAACTCCTTGTCCACTGCTGCAATCCAAATCTCGCATCCCTCGGGCCACTCGGCAGCGACTCTCTGAACACCCTCGTCAGCTCCAATAACAGCGAGGACGATGATTCTCTTTGCACCCCATTCACGAAGCGTCTGGATAGCGGCGGCGCAGGTTCCACCGGTTGCAATAACAGGATCGACCAAGATAGCAAGACTACTAGCACTGCTACTGGAGGAGTCACCCGGGATTTGCTGGGGAAGGTTGTTGTAGTACTCGACTGGGTCGAGAGTTGAAGGCTCACGGTACATGCCCAGGTGATGAACTGGAACTGGGATAGGGAGCATGGTTTGCACGGCTGGAGAGGTCAGTTTAGACGGTATGAGCGAAGCAGCGACTGAACTAACCGTCTACCATTCCAAGGCCTGATCGCAGAATGGGAACCAGACACATGGTACTTGGTTGGACTGTTGTGGAAGTGAACTGGAAGCCTAAAGGCGTCTCATCCTGATCGTGGTTAGTGAAGCTCCGAGAGTGCTCATGGCATTATGCTTCATACCTGAGTTCCTTCCGTAGCTTCCAGAGACGAAGCAAGAGCTTCACAAGAGACAATCAGAGAAATCTCATGAATCAGTGATTTAACGTCTCTAGGACTGTTGGTCTTTGAGCGAAGCTGGCTCAGCTTTGCCCGTAGACACGGGTGCTGGGAGACATGGACGTTTGAAGGCAACGAAGACATTATGAGTCAAGCACGAATGCACGGATTATTTCACCAAAGTAAAGAATCTACGAGGAGACGATGAAGCATCACAAGACGAGATGAGATGCTGGGACGAAGCCAAGGAGAGAGAAGAAGGAGAAGAGAGAAAGAAAGAGAAAGAGAAAGGAGAGGAGGGGGGTTTTGTATGTGAGCGAGCGAGCGAGCGAGAGAAGCAAACAAGCAGGCAGTGTAAGGCAAGGTATTTTGCTTGGAGACACGTTGAGCACTGTACCTGTCTGTACCTGTAACTGTGCTTAGCTGCACAGTACAGTACCTGTTTATCAGTTTGTTGGTACTACGTGAGATTGGATACCTGATCCAATCGTCTTTCCAAGAGAGATCACAAGGACAATCAATGATAGTCGAGGCGGGCGGTAGCGTATGTCGGCGGGGTTAGAGCTTAAGCTACAGGGGAATGCTCGGAGGAGGGCGGGGTGCGATAAGATAAGACGGAGCTCACCGCTATCAGTGATAGGAGCGAGGAGCTACATTGAAACGCGGTGAAGACTCAACATTTAGTGAGATATTCATGTTTGCTTTTAGCAAATACTTGCTCGGGCATCAATTGGATCTCATTGGCCAAGATGAAATTCCATCGTCCTGTTTTCTCTATCAGCCGTGTCTTGTCCCGTCCTTGTTATCTCTTTCTTATATAACCCTTGCTCTCTGCTCTCCTCCCAACTCAAAGAGACTCCACAGCAAACGCCTCCACAATAGGTACTCATCCTTTCCATGTGGCAGAGCTCGGGATGTTTCTTTCCTTTAATGCCGTCATATCCGACGAATCTAGCCACAAACTATATCATCAAACCTTAGACATCGTAATTTAACAACAGCAAGAACTTCTTCCATCCAAATAAAATGTCTTGTTACCACAAACTGCGTCGCCATAGCACGTTGCGATCTCTGACTTCAAGTGACTGAATGTTCGAATACTTCAACGATAACGCGACGATCAAACCATGGCTGACGATTATTCGGCCGCTCAGAAGCGACAATCGAGTTCTGGAGCGTACAATGCGCCAAACGACTATGCTGAGCTCGGCGATATAACCCAGCAACCGATTCAAAGGGAGACCCCGGGCGAAACCACCAAAACAACAGCTCAATCGGCAACGCGGGCAGAGCGATACGATCCCGGTACATACGACGTTCCACAAGATTACAGCAACCTCGATGAGACAGAGCCTGTTCCTCCGCTACAAGAGCTCTCGCCATGTCCTACCCAAGGCCAACCGCGAGGACACGCCAACTTTGTCCGTTCTAATACCCCCGTCGAACCAGAGCCTATACCACAAGAGGCAGGGCAGAAGAAGACGTCAGAACTGCTCACAAGCCTTTACACGCATTCGTATCTCGTGCTATTTGCGATCCTTGGAGTATTAGCGCGTCTGGGCTTGACTGCGTTGACGCGCTATAGTGGCACTCCCGTTATCTTCAACACGATATGGGCCAATTTCAGTGGAAGTATTGTTATGGGATTTCTCGCGGAGGATCGCAAGCTCTTCCGCAACGAGTGGGGAACTCCGACCTATGACGAAGCTATCAAGCGGGTCAAGCAAAAGCAAAAAGATGAAGCCAATGGATCTGGTTCAAGTCAGCAGATTGATGTGGATTTAGACGCAGCAAAGCGAGCGCATCTTGCGACCAAGAAGACGATTCCTCTGTACATCGGGATGGCAACGGGCTTCTGCGGGAGTTTCACGACGTTTTCGAGTTTTATCAAGGACGTATTCTTGGCCTTGTCCAATGAGCTAAAGACGCCTGGGTGGTCAGAGTCGCCGACGAGTCGCAATGGCGGTTATTCCTTCATGGCAATGCTGGCCGTCATCATCACCACTGTATCGTTATCACTTTCTGGTTTGTTCCTAGGTGCCCATCTGGCTATTGGCCTCGAGCGCGTCACGCCATCGATCCCCTTCTCGTTGAGTCGACGGGTGCTTGATCCTTTGGGCGTGCTTCTTGGCTGGGGCTGCTGGCTTGGTGCAGTACTTCTTGCCATATTCCCACTGCATAATGCCTGGCGTGGTCAAGCCCTTTTCGCGCTGATCTTTGGACCATTGGGTTGTCTACTACGCTTCTATCTGTCTCTCTACCTTAATGGAAAGATGAAAACGTTCCCTCTGGGAACATTCACTGCCAATGTATTTGGTACTGTGATCCTAGGCATGTCGTGGGATCTCGCACACGTGCCGGTTGGCGGAGTCATCGGTTGCCAGGTGCTGGAGGGCATGGAAGATGGTTTCTGTGGATGTTTGACAACCATTTCAACGTGGGTTGCTGAACTTAGCACTCTGAGACGGCGAAGTGCATGGATTTATGGCACGGCCAGTGTTGTGACGGCTCTAGTATTGATGATCGCTATCATGGGCGGGTTACGATGGAGTGATGGGTACAGCAAATTGCTATGCACAGTCTAGAGACGAATACACAAGATGCAGTTGGCCGCTCCTTTATTAAAGACACGAGTTAGAGAGGCGGGCATCTCTTATGCGGAGGAAGTCAAGAAAACACGGCTATACCAAGAAGAAAGCCAAGTGCTGATAGTCCTAGGATTCCACATGACCATTCCTTCATGGGAGTGATCTTGTATGGCCAAGATGATGTGGGGATGATGAAAGCAACCCTGACAACGATTCTTAGAACATAACGAACCTCGCAGCCTCACTGACGACAACTAGGTCCTTGATGGTCACGACAGATGGAACAATGAAAGGAGGCTCCCAATTGAGGAGCGTCCGTCCGGCAGTTGGTGGATATTCTAGGCTTGGCACCTCTGCTCACCTCAGCCGCATCCTTGTTCTCGATCCTTAGCTTCGCAGCTTTGTCTCAGGCTAGACCAATGGTGGAGGCCAGAGAGGATCAACCCCTGCTACGGGATTCAGCCCTATACCTGGGTGGGCGCCACTCTGTTTTATATTCGCAGCGGTAAACGATTATCATTGGGGGTCCCTGAGTCCTACCGGGCTGTGCTAGGTGTTGTTGGTCTGTTTTTAGATATGCATATAATATCTTGAGGCTGGGCTGCCCTTGGTAATAAGTGGGAGTCTATATTGCTTGGTCTTCCCATCCATTCCCGATTGATTTCTGCAGTAAATAGTGGCTTATTTCCTCCATGTCTCGACAATAGTCTATTCACTCCTTACGTGTCCCAAAGGCGGGTTCCAGAGTCACCATCGCCATGTACTCCCACCAGGCTGGTGTCAACGCGCGCTATGAGCCCCAAGCCACAGACGATGTATCCTGGGACACCAGTTCAGAGAAATTCCCCTCGGGCAAGAAAAGGACATTTTATCGCCCTACAGCTCTAAGATGGTATTTCATCATCGGCCAGATCGCCTTTCTCTTGGCTGTCATGGGAATGGTCGTCTGGGCCCTGATAGAAATGCCAAACTCAGATGGGACAGCAAAGATCATCCACAAGAAACGCAACAATGCCAACCCCAATTTCCCACGAGACGATGCAGTAATGACTCCTGAAGTTGCAAAGCAAACAATACTCGCAACAACTTACATCGTGAGCGACGTGTCTACTGTCGTTACTGTACCAGGCACGACAGGCAAATATACCACGACGATCGAGACCACGGAGTATAGTACGCACTGGGACCTTACCACGACCGTAAAGGACGGCACGACCATGACGAGCGTAGACTATACCGTGATCCCAACAAAGGTCGTCACCGAGGTCGTCACAACCAGGCCAGGAGAGGCAACAAAATCCGTCTTCACCAGTATCAGTGTGGGCTACTCGGTCGTCTATCCCTCAGGCTCTGATTCTGCTGCCCCCGGTACCATCAGCTACACGGAAGCTGTAACGATTACCCAGGCTTATTCGCTTCCTGGTGCGGTCACCACATACACATCTACTCTGGATGGAGATAGGACCGAGACTATCTACACAACCATCGTAGAGGATGGCGAGACAAAGACTCTGTCGCATGTCATTACCGAGGCGGCTCCTACTCAATACGAAAGTGTTGGAGAAACGACCGCATCGGCGAGTACCTATGTCTCATATGGCAAAATCACTATTACTTCTGTTTACACAGATCAGAAGCCTATTGGCAAGCCCAAGCCGACAGAAAAGGCGAAGCCCACGGTTATTGATGTCGTGACTGTCGAAGACGACCACACCGTGAAGAAAGTCGAGAAGCTGGACCCGACAACCTATGTCACCAAGGTCAAGGATATCGAGACGGTTGAGGTAGTTGTTTCTCAGGAGGGCGAAACATTTGTCAGCGAGATCGAAGCTTTCGAGACCACTGTCGATGTAGTCGAGACTGGAGTTGACGGACTGCTCACGACTAACCAAGTAATCTCAACTAAGGCCGCCTCGTTGGCAACGATTACGAAGTCTGCTGCACCTACGACAATCATATCTACCAAATCAACCGACAAACTCAAGACGATAACATCGGAACGAACAGATTCTTCCACGATCATATCGACAATCAAGGGGAAAACGAGAACCTACGAAAAGACCACCACGATTGCTCCCACTGCCACCGATGATGCATCAGAAGCTGGAGCAACCGGGGGAGTGGTCAAGACTGTGGTTACAGTATATGAGCTCGATGCTGGGAAGTACTTCCTTGGCAAATTTCTTCCTCCTATCCTCGCAGTTATGCTGTCGATACCTGCACGAGTCATTGACTACAACGCCCAACTCTTTCAGCCCTTCCACGCTTTGAACCGGGTCGACGGAGCTATGGGACCAGAGTCGATGAATCTTCACTTCGGTGGCTGGGCAGGAATTGTAGAGCCCTTCAATGGTCTTGTGGATGGTCATCCTGTGCCTTTCATCACGATGCTGATTGTTTTGTTCTCGGCACTTCTGACGCCTCTGGCAGTCGAAGCTGTTGGTTTCAAGATGCATGGCCAGTGCAAAATCAACGCTTATGAGGGCTGTGCTCCAGCCTTGGGTGTGTCACCATTATCGTCACGCATCCTCCTTGCAGTTTTAGGTCTGATGGTCTTGCTACTCTGCGGCTTAATATTCTTCCTCCGAAATTTTCACACTGGAGTGTACGCAAACCCCTGGAGTGTTGCAGGAGTTGCATCGCTGGCTTCAAACAGAGATATCAGACCGCAGCAAGACTCTGAGCGAAGAATAGAAAAAGAGATGGCAGAAAAGCGATACGGTTTTGGATTCTTTGAGAACCGTGCAGGGCAGACTGAATACGGCATTGTTCTCTACGACGACGCGGGGGAGAACCTTCAACGTAATCATCCGTTTTCAGAGTCTAGTTCTGTGGACGCGCAGGCAGTCAGAAAGGGGCGAAGAAACCCATTCCTCATGCTCGGCCTCGCGTGGCGTTTGGTGTTTCTGCTGTTCCTGCTTGGGTTGATGGTGTTTCTGCTATACTACCATCTTACACTTGACAAGTCATCTTCCTTCAAGAACTTCATGAACAGTCAGACTTTTGGTGTTCGATTCTTGTTTGCCGCCTTCGGGGTTATTATCTCCTTTAGCTGGACAGCCTTCTTCATCAGTAAGTTTCCTCGATATTACTCTCGAGCCTTGGGCTAATTCTATGAAGCTATCGCTATGGTTGTGCCATATCAGGTCATGTCGCATGGTCCCCAGTCGGCATCCAACTCAGTCTTGCTCACGAGACCCACGAACCCTTTCTCCGGTTTCTGGTCTGCAATCAAGCATGGACAAATATTTCCTGGTCTGGTCGCTTTAATGGCCATTTTCTCCGAGTTCATGCCTATTCTTCTTGCCAACATACCTTACTCGCTATCACAAGTGCGAGTCTCACACGATATCTGCGCTCGACTTTCGGTTGGCGTTCTGGCTCTGATGGCAATCACCATACTCCTCAGCTTCATTATCCGCTGGCCTGATATGCCGGTAGATCCTCGCTCGATCGCTGGAGCCATGTACTACGTGAGCGAGAGCAACATGGTAGATCACTTTAGTGGCATGGCGGACATGGACGGTGAAGAGCGTAAGCAGCGTATTCGAGAATTGGGAGGCACATACTTATATGGAGAGCTGACAACGCGAACGGGTGAGAAGAGACCTGCTGTAGAGTGGGATGATCATACGCTGGGCGTTGATCCTTCGGTGGCGCAGCGGAGGAAAGATAATATCCAAGTCAGGCATGACAGCATTGATACAGGATATTACGGACATCGATCATGATTTATGAAGACATTACGAACTGGGAGGTCATACAATACACGGTTCTGGGCTGGGAAAATGGAATGGTAACTTGGGAATTATATGGAGCATCCTGGAGTTTCTTTAGGCAATAAAAATATGGTACAATTTTGGGCTTCTTCGACGTGAATGTGATGGGTTAACTTTCCTGTCTGAGGAGTGAATATTTGATTTTGCCTATTCCTCCAACTCAGGGTAATATCGCCAGATCCCCTCCGAGTACTTCCTGCGCCTGTCACTCTGAAGATATTTGCTAATGTTGGGTCTCTCCTTAACCGCGTCGTATAACTTGAAAACGCCATCGTATTCACCAGACTTCTTCAAAGCCTCAGTAGACTTGGGAAAGGCATACTTGGTGCCATCAACAGCCTGATGGGTTGTCAGCCACTCGAAGGAGAATTTGATGGACATTGTGTAAGTGTCACTCACCTGGAAAAGTACGAGGTCTGCATAGGTCAAGCTGTCGCCATATAACCATGGCCCCTCACCACTGGTTTTGGCGTCAAGCACTCGCTGCATGTACTTGAAATACTTGGGGAGGCGCTCCTTGATGAAATATCCAGACTTCTTCTTGGACTCCTCCTTTTGGTCCTCATAGTAGAGACTAATAGCGATAGGGTGATGGGTATCATGGAGTTCATTTACAAGACCATCCAGGATTGTCAAAACAATCTCATTGAGATGGTACACGCCGTTTCCTTCTTTGGGCGCCAGACCAACCCTTGGAGCGACGTATAGAAGAATATTAGGCGTCTGTGAAATGAGAAGATCGCCGTGCTTGAGAGCTGGGGGAGCTAGCGCCGGCGGGTTATGCTCATTGCCGATGTTGTCTGTAGAAGTGAGACTCTTGACAGCGTTCATGCCCTTCTCTATGTTCTGTGCAACGTCTGAGTAGGGAACACCAGCTTCTTCGAACACGAGGCGGACGAATTCGCCGCGACCGGGGATGACTGGCCAGTAGATGAGCTCATAGGGAGCATCGTCATCGGTTTTGACACGCTTGGGATCTGGCTGAGACATGGTGATGATGCTTGTTTAGGTGATGGTGTGAGAGTTAGAGGACGCAAGTGAGGACAGGAGAGCTGGAGTCCTCAGAGGAATGATGTTCCATAAATACGACGGTCTCAAGGAAGGATGGAAGGAAGCTCACCTGCATCGGAGCGGGATGCGGGATCGGCTGCGGAGGAGTGGGGTCCAGCCTCTCGATGCATGCAATAATCAATCCTTTGTGTCAAGATGATGTAAGCA